CTAAATAACTAATTATAAAGAGTAAAAATCTTTTTTGAAATCCTGAGTAATTATGTATGTGAATATTTATCAATTTGGTGGATAGAAGAGAAACTTCTAATCATAAACATTCCAACAGTCCCACTGGGTTAGATTCCGTTACTTTAACAAATGACTTCCTCCCAAACAGAGGCTTTAAATAACCAAAGGGGTTTTCTTGCTGTAATGGCCATAATGAGTTTGTTGCAGGCTCTGCTCCTCCAGCCCTCCCTCTGGATCCCAGGCCGAGGGAGCAACTGTTACCTATCTTGTCCCAGTCACTGAGACAGAGGGAAATGGAAAAAAGCTCTGAAGGTTCTCTTGGTGGCAGTTTAGCCCTCTGTCCAGGAAGTGACATAGGTTATTTTGTTCACAAGTCACTGAACAGAACTAGTCACCCAGCCCCATCCAACCCCAAGTTAGGTGCAATTCCCTCATACATTCAGAGGAAAAGAACCAGAAGTATTAGTAACTGCTACAAATGTTTCATGTTCCAAGAAGAAAAAAATCAATATATTTGGCATTATAAAAATTTAAACATTTCTCTGCCTAAAAATCTAATCAGCATTAAAAGCTGAATAATAAACTGGGAAATATTTGCAATAAAAATGTCAAAGACTTTAAATCCTTATGAGTAAGAGAGTAACTTACATCAATAACAAAAACAATTATATCTCAAAATACTAAAAAAAAAAGGCACAGGACAGGAACAAGTAATTTAAAATTACAGACATACAAATAGGTAGTAAATAAGTTTTAAAAATTAAATTCATCCATATTCAAAGGCATGCATATTAAAGCAATAATGAATACTTTCTGCTACAAACTAAATTAAAAGTCATACAGATTCTTGGGAGGTTGCAGTTCAGTTGGACATTTCTACACAATGGATACAAAGTACTTATACAAGTTAGCTTTCCCTTCCGCATGGCAGTTTAGCATTGTTTAACAAAAGCTTAAATGGTTTATAACTTAGGACCTAATAAATATACTTCAAAGTATTTTTGTTTCTCGCAGCAAATGTCAATCATAATAGGATTCATAACAGTGAAGAATCAGTGCCAACTTACCAAAAAAATAAATAAATAGAAGGTGAAGCTGATTAAGGAAGCCATGATATATCCAATGAAATAGTAGACAACCACTAAAAATAAGGCTTGTTTTCAGGGGGAGATGCCTATGGTACAGTGTTTGTGAAAATGCCAGGGAATAATAAGATAGTATCATCTTAATTATTTCAAAGAAAATTCAGATATATATGGGAATAAAATGGAGGGAAAATCACCAAACTATTAATAATAATTGTTTCACACCGGCATGATTATATTTTGTTGTGTTTCCCTTTCTTTCAACTTTTGCCCAATTTATATGTTTTTAAAACAAAATTATTTAGAAAAGAAAACAATGTTTACTCACATAGCAGACAGTGGTATTCATTATGGGAGTTCACAGAGTACAGCATATTTAAAAATATATGTAAATGAGCAGCAAAGAGAATTTCCAGAGTTTAGTACTTTTAAAATAAGTGGTGCACACTTCCCAAAGTTCCAATTGGTGGCATTCAATACACAGATCCTTCTGTGACATAACATTTAACTGTGCTTTATTTTTGATCAACTTGTTGTTTTCCTGGATACATGTAATAGTCAAGTTTATCTCTCTTCATCTGGGACCTAAATGTTTCACAAAAAGATTTTCTCTGAGAAGTAACTTCCATAGAGCTTATTCATTATTTATGTCCGTGCAAACTGTTCATTTTATAGTGTTGGACCTTAGAATGTGACTGTGAGCAAATCTGGGAGGTTATGCTCAACTCGGATACCTTCTGGACTAGCATCCTTGAACAGTAGTAAACAGAATTTCAGTTTGAGACTCTTTAAATGATGCAGGTCATAGTAAACATGTGAATGTTTAAATCAGACTCTAACTCTTTTTGATGTTCTAAAATACTATTGTTGCCTAGTTCACCATTTTGTACAATTTTTAAGTCAGTAAACAAAAAATTTTATAAATGTGTCAAATAAATATGCATAGAGGTTAAAAAAACTAATAGAAAATAATAAGAAAGGAAAAAGAAAATGTAGCAAAGGACTTTGTATTTAAAATATTTACATTAAAAATAATAATAAAATAAATAAAATATTTACATTAAATGTCAAGGACTTGCATTCTGTCCACAACATATCTTTGAGACGATTGATTAGGGGTGCCTTGGTGGTTTAGTCAGTTAAGCGTCTGCCTTCAGCTTAGGTCATGATCCCAGGGTCCTGGGATCGAGCCCTGCCTGGGGCTCTATACTCAACGGGGTACTTCTCTCTTACTTGTGATCTCTCTCTCAAATAACTAAATAAAATCCTAAAAAAAAAAAAAAAGATGACTTTTTCTGGGGCACTTGAGTGGCTCAGTCAGTTGAGCATCTTTTTTTTTTTTAAAGATTTTATTTATTTATTTGACAGAGAGAGACACAGCGAGAGAAGGAACACAAACAGGGGGAATAGGAGAGGGAGAAGCCGGCTTCCCTCTGAGCAGGGAGCCGGATGCGGGGCTCAATCCCAGGACACTGGGATCATGACCTGAGCCAAAGGCAGCTGCTTAACGACTGAGCCACCCAGGTGCCCCGAGCATCTGGCTCTTGATTTCAGTTCAGGTCATGGTTTCAGGGTCCTGGGATCAAGCTGAGGGTGAGCCCTGTGTTCAGCGGGGAATCTGCTTGATTTTCTCTCCCTCTGCCCCTCCCCCCTCATACGTGCATGCGCTCTCTCTCTAATGAATAAATAAATCTTTAAAAACAAATAAGTAAAAAAATTAAAGATTACTTTTTCATAAAATACAGACCATATTTTTGCTTAGATTATTGTTTTAAATGGAAAAAGGGGGTAAAATTTGACATTATAAATCTAATACTAATTTTTCAAAAAGCAAAGTCATCATCAGAGAGTTGATATTTCTGATCAAGAACCTAGTGTCCAATTTTCATTAAAATGAGCACCAAAACAATATTTAAGACTGCAAATTATTTTTGTCAGTCCCAAAGAGAGCAGGTCACTGGATCAAATTTTTCCCAAAAATGTGTGTTTCTCAGGATAGAAATTCCACTGTTATATCCCAATTACAAGGAAAACTTTCCTATCATCGAATGAATGAGAATCCATGGGCTGACCGGAGTCAAATTGCTTCTTTACTGTAGGATTTCTGAGAGACTCTTACATGTTATTGTGCAGTGTGGATTTCCAAAAAGAAATGTTTCCTAAACATTCTTGACCACTCAACTTCCTTTTGCGTGTAGCATCTCATGGGTGACTTCTGTGCACACATTGGTAAATACTGCTCTGTCAGAGCTGTGAACTTACTTCCAGTTGTTCTGGTCAGACAACAGTTCTCATCTTTAGCAGCAATATTTCCTTTTCAGCAAGGAGAGATTTCACCTTGAGAAATAGCAGAAATAGGGGGGAAGAAAACTAGACAGTTGTGCTGAAGTGTATTACACGGCTTCAAGAACTACAAGTTGTGAACTTGGCATATTCCATTTATTTAGTAAGTAGAAAATGAAATTTGAGACTTTTCGTATGAATATGTGTCATTTAAATGAGGTGTTACAAGCTTAAAATCTAACTGCTCTCAACAGACATGAGAGCGATCACAGAATTTCATAAAAGTTTGGCATGAATCCTTTAGCAATATTCCCGGTTCTTGCCTGAAATCTGCAGCTGAATAGGAGATGAACCATTCCTTCAAGGTGTTTAGGTGCTGGCAGCCTGAGGCAAGTGAGCCTTTAAGAAAGGGTCCGAGTTTTGAAAGTGCTTGGGGATCATGCGCCATGATTGTTGGGAGAAAGGAAGCAATCACTGCTAAAAAGAAGGAAATCAGGCAGTCTACATGACTCAACAACCACCCTCCCTCTCTCCAACACTCTCATAAGCCTCTCTATCTTGCCATACTACTATGCCAAGTATGCCAACATACTATGCTAAGTATGCCAACATATTACTTCATTAGGCGGGGTGTTAAGGCACAAAGAGACTCAACTCAATTGGATGGTCATTGTTTGGGGACAATGTACTCTGCCCAAATCAAGACATTTAGTCCTGGCAGAAGGCAAGGATCAATAAACATCATCCCTACCCTCAAAGAACAGCTAGACTCCCAGCTTATGATTTTACACCAAAATGAATTCCCCAAATATGCACTAGATTATACGTTATCAAAAGAGAGGGAAGAGTTCACCTCTGGCTGGAAGAATCAGAAAAGACTCCACATTGGAGGGGACAAAGAGTGGGCTCCTTATTCTGTTATGAATAATTGACTACTGTACATAGTTTCCTTTTCTGTAATCTCTCACCACTCGACTGGAAGCCCTGCTGATGGCATGAACCAAGTGCTTCCATCTTTGTATCCTCCACTGCTGCCAGCATCATAGATATCAATAGATGGCCAATCATGTTTGATGAATCAAATTAAACTGAATATTGAATATCACTAGAACAGAGTACCTTTGGCTTTGGATATATTCTTTTTCTTTTTTAATGTGCAACTCAAATTTATTAAGAAAAATTACTGGCAGCATGTGCTAAACTGCCCATAACCCATAGCCTTTCCCTTAACCGGCCTTTCCCATAACTGCTACCATCTGAAGCATCTCAGAAATTCCTTACTCTAAAACATACTTTCTTCCACCTTAAATGTCATTCCTCCTGAACTCATGCAGCTCTCTGAAACATCACAGAGAGTTTGGATGTGGTTCTTGGATCAGGGGTGACATCAAACCCCATTCCCCCTCTTCAAAGGACACCAATATCTGAAGACACTTGTAGAAGGTTTGGGCAACAGCCCTACCATTGAGGCTGTCCTTACCTACAACTTTGTCCATAATCAGGACTTCATGAAAGGTAAAAATTCAGGTACCCCTCGTCCATTCATTCTCCATTAGGTCATAGAACATCTGCTTCCCATCCAAATTCACCTAGCATGAAATCTTTACCAAGATGGTATCAGTCTCCAGAACTAAAACAGGAAGAGGTAAGCTGAGTGGGGAAGAGAGTATTATCTAAGGGAATCTTAGAATTTAAATGTGTAGCCTTGAAATTAAAGGTGCAGTAAATATAGGCTTATAGTAATTTGCTTATGATGTAATAAACTAGAATTATGGATGTGGCAATAAAGAGAGGCAATATAATACTGTATATTTAAGGAGCAGCCATCAGCAAAGGAATACATCAAATTGCCATCTTGTTTTCTGTTGATAGCTTCTGGAATGGTTATTATTCCACAGGAATGCAAAACAGGAGTCAACACTATTGAAGCTTTCCATTTCTTGATTGCCCTTCTTTCCTGCATGACCTCGCAATTTGTCACAATGAGTACACAACAGCTAGTTAAGGGAGTAAGCGAGGTTTATTAGAATATGTGTAATAATAAAACTTGCCCCTGTCTATTAAGACTAAGACAGCAAAATGTAATTAACAAAGAAATCCAATGTGTTGTGTGGTAGAGTTACTTGCTTTTTTTTTGCCAAATCAAGTCAGAGAGCTAAAGATTGTTAATTGAAATATTAAATAAAATAACATTTTACAAAGGGGAAAAATACGGTAATTAAGAGCATCCACTACTGAAATTTTCTCAAGACAATTGTGATACTGTATGGATTTCCTATGGCTGCTGCAACAAATGACAAAAAAGTGTGTGGCTTAAAACAATAGATATCTATTCCCTCACAGTTCTGGAACCCAGAAGTCCAAAATCAAGTTGTTAACAGGGTCCAATTTCCTCTGAAGGCTCCAGGAAAGATTCAGTTCCTTGCCTCCTCCAGCTGCTGGTGGCTCCAGACATTCCTTGGTTTCTGACTGGATCATTCCAATTTCTGCCACTCTCCATCTACTCTTGCTCTTGGGTGTTGTCAACCCAGTCTTATGGCTTTAAATACCACCTAGACATAAACTTCAGTGATGACTCCCAAATTTCTATCTCTAGACCAGACCTCTCCAATAAAATCCAGACCAATATAGGTGACCTCTTAGTTGACATCTCCACTCAGATTTGTAACAAGCAGCACATGGTATTCATGTTCCAAATCAAGCACCTACTCTTTTTCTTCATCTCTGTGAATGGCAATTTCAGACCAAAAGCCTGATGTCATTCCTGACTCTTTTCTTCTTACTTATAGTTGATCAGCAAGTCCTGCCAGCTCTACCTTCAATTTTTATTTAGAATTTGGCCAGTTTTTGCCATACCCCCACACTCTGCTCATCTATACCAAACCATCTCTCATCAGTTACCTGGATTATCACAGTGCCTGTGGTTATAGTCATCTGATATTATAGTGGCTTTGGTAGCAGCAGATCTCTGCCTTTTCTCTTGCCCCTCTCCTCCCTTCATTCTATTCGTAGTACCGAAAATGGGGTGAGTGTTAAGAACCCAGTGCCATGTGTGTCTCCTTTGCTCTCACATGACTACCACACTCACAAAACTTCTGGTCTGCACATTTCTGGTCACCAAATGGGTGGGTGTTCTCCCACACCAAGCAATTCTCTGTGACATCTGCTGGGTGTCCTATAGTTTATCTCAATTCTGAAACTGCCTACCTGGAGATAGTATTAGACTTCACAGGATAAGGGCTCAGTCCCATGAGACTGCTCTGCCACTTTAGGTACCAATAGCTAGTAGGTCCCCAGGTTACCCACAACTGCTACCTAATTCACTTGCAAGTCAGAGGTTTCCATGACTTCCTCTTCCTTGGATTTGATTATTTGCTAGAGCAGCTCACAGAACTCAGGGAAACACATACTTATATTTGTCAGTTTATTAAAGGATACAGATGAACAACCAGATGAAAAGATACATAGGGCAAGGCTTAAGAGGGTACCAAGCACAGGAGCTTCTGTTCCCATGGAGTTGGGATATATCACCCTCCTGGTATGTGGATATTTTCACCAACCTGGAAGCTCTCTGAACCCCATCCTTCAGGCCATTTATGGATGCTTCATTACATAAGCATGATTGATGCACCCATTAACCATTGGCAGTTGGTTCCACCTCTAGCTTCTCTCCCCATCTTGGAGGTCAGAGGGTGGAACTGAGAGTTCCCAATCCTTTAATCATATGGTTGGTTCTCTGGTCTGGGCAACCAGCCCCCCTTCCTTAGGTGGGACTCCCAAATCACCTCATCAACATGACAAAAGACAACTTTGTTGCTCTTATCACTTAGGAAATTCCAAGGGCTTTAGGAGCTCTGCACCAAAAGAGGATGAAGACCAATATATATTTCTTATTAGAGATCACAGTGTCACATAGGGTGATCCTCTTGAAATACGTCATTTCTCTACTGTACTCAAAACCCTCCAGTGACTTCCCATCTGACTCAGAATAAAATCCAGGGTCTTATTATGGCCTATAAGACCCTCTGTGATATGCTCTAATCCACCCCCATCACTGCCCTAAACTCATCTTCTACCAGTCCAGACCAGGCTCACCCACCTTCATTCTCACCACTCCTCAAAATTAAAACCAGGCAGCTCCCACCTTAGAACATGTTGTTCCCTCGGACTGGAATGCTCTTCTCTCAATATCTTCAGGACAGTTTCCTCGCTCCCTGCAGGTTCTTACTTCAAAGTTGCTCTCTTCATGAGATCTTTCCTGGCCTCCTACCCTAACATGTCAACTCCCTTCTTCCTGTTCATGATCAGCTCCCCTTTTAGCATGTAAAGCCAAAAGTCAGATTTCTGTTTATTTTGTTTACTATTGTATCCCCAGAACCAAGTACAGTGTCTGGCTCATAGGAGGCTGGCATTTTGTAAATAAATAGCTAAATGAGCAAATGATTTAGTAAATGAATGAATGAGTTCTTCAGTAGAGTCGTAGACATGGCATACACAATCAGTTAAAGTAGAACAAAAAAAAAACCTAAATATATGTAAGGATATAATGTTATTACATTTCCAAAAGGTATTATTGTAAATGTGTTACTAGAACATTACTTTGGGTTTACCTTAGGTATCTTTGCAAACAGCCCAGCAGTCAGTCTTAGCCTTGACTTAGCCTTAGTCAAAGCCTTGACTGCTTTTTACCTATAACAATCATGTTTTTGACCCAACAGTAGGTGGGTTTGTGAATATGACCAAATTCTCTTGGAAGTCTAGATGGAATTATGTGACACAAAACCACAAGTTCTCACTTGCACCCTCTGTGTCCACCACTATCCTTTATTAAAGGCAACCTGTTACTTGTGCAGGAGGTAGCCATCTCTGGTTTCCATCTATGTCTACGTGGTCACAAAACAAAACTGCCTGTCTTGGCCTGACCTTGTTGGTACAGGATCTACCCAACAGAGAGAAACGCACCTGTGGTGATGGAACTGTGTTACCTGATTCTGTATTGAGATTTCAAGTGAGTTTTTCTTTGCCTACCTCAAACCACTGTACCATAAATTTAGGATCTTGTTGGAAGAGAATTTTACATGCATAGATATGATTTCCATTAAAATTGTCCATTTTAAATTTCAAAGCCCTTGAGGTAAAAAAAAAAAAAAAGATTCATATCTTAGCTCAGGCTGCTATAACAATCTCACAGACCTGGTGGCTTAAACAATAGACACTATTTCTCACAGTTCTGGAGGCTAAGAAATCTCAGTCAATGCATTGGCACAGCTAATGTCTGGTGAGGACTTCTTTCCTGTCTTGTAGACAGCTGTCTTCTCTTCTATCTTCACATGGAGGGGTGAAAGAGAGAGAGAGAGGCATTTACCTTAGCAGAAAAGGGCAAGGCAGGTGGGGCAAAGGGAAGAACAAAAGAAGGAACCAGGTAGGAATTCCTCCTCTTGAAACCATGGCACCCATGTGTACAAATGACTGAGGCCAGAAGTTGACTACATGGAGAGCCCCAAAGATTTGAAATGTCTCATTGACAAGCCCACACCTACAAATGAAAAAAAAAAAAAATATATCACGCATGCGTCGCTCTACTCCTATCAAAGATTCTGCAATTCAGTGTTGTTGAATGTGAAGTTAGGAGGAGGAGGAGAGAGGAAGTGGCTAATGCTTACAAGCCTGCTCCCTTAGGAGGAACTGGAATGGCTCCCATCAATAATTGTCCTGTCTCTATCAGATTTCACTTTCCTGGAACTTCCTCAGTTCTCTCTATGCCTCACTTCACAGGCAGGTTCTTGGTATTCAGCAGCAACCCTTCCTAAGGCAAAAAGGAGAGTGTGGTGGGGTGTTGAGCTAATGACAACATTTATAATGCTTATTTGATGCCAGAAAGAAAGAAAATTGCCCCAAAATGACAAAACAAAGTTCACCTACACACTACATACACACATAATAAAAACACTTATCATTCTCTTAAACTCAGGAACATTCAGCTTTATGTAAAAAATAACTATATACCAAAGGCACAATTTTGAGGTGAGCAGGCAGTTCTATAACAAATGTTAATTCCTCTTTATCCATGTGTAATAATACTAACTTATTTCTGGGGCATGATTGAGTTTTCAGGGCACCATCTGTGCATTATAACATTTCCTTTACAGAGAAATCCTCTAAAGTAAGCAAATAAGCATTATAAACCCACACTTAGAGATGAAGGACATCAGAAATAATTTGATGAAGTGAATACATATATATATAAATCAATTATATATAGTTCTCTATATGATAATCATGTGAGCTAATTCCCTATAATAAATACTATATTTAATATATAAATATATAAAATAATAATGTATAGTATAATATAACATGTATTTAAAAAATCTATGTATAGATTGGAGAATCAAACACCTGAGTTTGTCACAAATAAGGCATGGGGACTTTGAATAAGGTAGGCAAAGTGTGTGTGTCTCAGTTCACTTATTCATGCATAAAAACAGAAATACTACCTCCTACATGGAATGTTAAAAGGCTTAAATGAAATATTACCAAAGAGCTATTTCATAGTAACTTTCTTCCCAATATTTAAAATTCCTCCTCAAAGAGGAACTAGGTGGACCAAAGTCCAAAGTTCAGAATTTCTGATTCCCATTCTGGTGTGTATTTCTTCTTACCAGCCTGCTTATGCAGATGAGTGGTGCTTACATTTGAGCCAATGACTGATTATTTCCTAAATAGTTGTAGGCTGAACATCTTAAGTGACTTTGATCTCAGTAAGGATGGTGATTCTGAACAAGATACATTCTCTCCTCTTAAGTGTTCTCACCGTGTGCATGAGGAGATAAACAGATTTTTAAAAAATGCTAATAATTATTGTGAAGGCCCTAACACCAAAGAGTTTCTGAACTTAAGTCTGGGCTATTCTAATTGTGGATCAGCTTGACATCTATCTTCTTCTATTATCTGAGCTTATCACCTCTCTGTGGAGCATCCACTTAATAGTTGTGAGAGAAACTGAAAGTACCCCCAAAGAACCTACTTACCACTGTCTGAGAAAAAAGCAAACAAAAAAACAATGTCACATAAAAGCAAAATTTTTCCTAACATGGATTTCAGAATAAGTGTCCAGTAGGAATCTGTAGGTAAAGGTTAACATGGTCTCATACCATGGTCACACAGTGTTCAACTCTGATCTCTCAGAGAACAGAGAAATGATCTCTGCATGAGTATCTCATATCATCAGTCCAAAAGCCAGAGACATTTCCAAAGGAAGCCAAAGTAGTTCCGTACAAACCTTCTCAGCTTTTGCAACCTGACATTGCAATTGATTATTTAATAGAGAAAGTCAGTTGAGCAGGAAATTGCAAAATAATAATAATTTTATAATTAATAAAAATTATAGATGTGTATTGGTTTACTATTCTTTCAAAATAGGATCACAGTCATTTCTTTGATTAGAGTTTGCCAATTAGAGTTCTTTTTCTAAGAATACACATAAATCATACAGGTGCCTGTGACTTTTATTTGGGATTTTCAGTTTTAGATTTTTTTTAAGTGTAGAGAGAACTTGAAGCACTTGCAAATCAATCTGGCATAGCCAAGTTTGGAAAAAAAAAACAAACAAACAACAACCTGCATCTGACCTTTGGTAAGGAGTCCCTCAATGGTGAGAGCTACTTACAAGTATTCAGCATTTCACAGGCTCCAGTTAATGTTTTATTCAGGGGAAATGAGGAGTATTGGTCAATCAAGGAATAAGTTAAGTGGAGGTCAGTTAAGAGCACCTCTACTGTGTGTCTTGCATCTATTGATAATCCCAGGACAACTCTTAAAAAACATTAAGAATGTACAGTTTAATGATACTCCAATTACCTCTATTAACATCACCAGGCAAGCAAAGTCAGAGCTGAATTCTCCAATGAAGCTTTAAGCACTGTTATTTTGTATTGCCACTTGTTTGGAGATGCCCCTGGTTGAGATATCAAAGTTTTAGTGCATGTTCTCTCTTAGGGGAGCAACACATTTCTCTGGAGATAGGATGCAGGATTGCTTTGGGGCCAGACCAAACAGTTTGTCAAAACAAAACAAACAAAAGTTCTTTGAATCTGCCTGTGCACTTTGGAAGGTACTGGAATATGACCCCAGAATTCTGAACCAGAAGAAAAGAAGAAATGTTTTCATTTTGAAAAATTTAAGTGTATATATGCCTCATTTTGACCCCACTCAGCTCTCTGGCTGATTTCTCTGGAGTTGGAAAGGTCTGCTTTTGAATCGAAAGAGCTTCATTCTGAGGAAGGAGGGTCTTGCCAGATACAATTCAAATTATGTATAGGTCAACCACACTGTGATTCATGTCCAAACTGTAGAAAATCACCCTCCGCCATGTTGTCAGTTATACTTGACATGGTACTTAATATTCAGAATACATTGGCCATCTGAGAGGTAAAATACAGTCCAACTTTGGATTTGAAATCTTGGGCATACATATGAAGACCTGTTTATGTGCAGGTAACATGTGCTGACAAATTTTAACACTGGGTTTGGGATCTGTTCTGACCACCACCACATTTATTTTTGGGGGGCCTTTTGTGTGAATCATTGATATTCTTCTTTTAAAAAAATACACAGGAATGATGTGACTAATGCTTCTCATGCATCTCTTTTGCTTCTGCAGGAGGGATTTTTGAAACTGTGGAAAATGAACCTGTTAATGTTGAAGAATTAGCATTCAAGTTCGCAGTCACCAGCATTAACAGAAATCGAACCCTGATGCCTAACACTACATTAACCTATGACATCCAGAGAATTAACCTTTTTGACAGTTTTGAAGCCTCGCGGAGAGGTAACTATTTTCACATTTTTAAAAGCTTTTTTGGGTGTTGTGTCTGCTCTACAAGTCACCTTTTCTGCTACCTGTCCTTTTTCAGAGCGGACATCTTTGTGTAAATGGGTTGCAGGAAATCTCGGTCCTCGATGTCACTGTCCAGTGCAATCTGAACTATACTAATGGATGTTGCCTAGCTATGTTTTCTGGGCCATTCTGATTAGCTCACCCTTCAGTGCCCTCTACTCTATGATTAACTGGTTCAGCTGTGAATGGAAAATGTCAAGCTTGATCTGTTTTTCCTTCCTGAGGCTGAGATACCACCATGAAATTGTACAGTGCAGTCAAATAAAACTTTGTGGAAGGTCATATCCACCGAGCATGTGGAAATGCCCACAACACACATAACTCACATCCTGAATTTTAACAGGTTGTAAACTACTGGGTTTACCTAGCATCTTCTCAACTTTTTTTTTTTTTAAACTCCTTTCCACAAAATCATAGAAATCTAAAAATTAAACCAATGTAACAAATCTCTGCATATTTTTTTCCTTATTCTTTTTTTCTTCTGAGTAGAAGACAAGGTCCTATAAAATAATCTAATTTATATTAGGCTAGGCTGCAAGGTTTCTGTCATGGAAAGATTCCACTGGGATTGTGGGGCTTGCTTAGACATCCCCAAACACTTCCAAGACAACGCTGACGCACAATCACGTTCAGTACACTTGAAACCTGGCCTCTAACCAGGGAGGTATTGAGACTCCACGCAGGTGTTTATATGTGGAAACCAAGGCTGCCCCACACCCTCGAGTGGGGGGGGGGGCTCTTTCCCTCATAGAGGAATGTTTGTCCACAAATAAATGGAATGCAATGAACACCATGTTTATGTCGATTGCCAAGTAACTAATACTGGTGTTTCCACATAGAATTAACTCAGGATCTATCTCTGTCTCTGTCTCTCTGTATCTCTCTTTGTCTGTCTGTCTCTGTCCTGTCTCTCTCTCTGTCACACACACAAACATTGCTGAGCAAATACCTTAGAAAGGCAAACACATTTAACAACGATACTTCAACCCACATAAAATTGAAAGCTTTTTTGTGATCTCAAGTACCTGCCGCACTTGTAAATTAAACACCCCCAAAGCTTCTTAAAACTGGTAATTTGCTGGCAAACAGAACTCAAAAAATTGATTTTCTGTCAAGTCATATTAACATCCCTGAGCTAAATATTAGCAGGTATCTCAATCCATTGCCCATGTTAGAGAAAACAACAGTTTATATACTCTCATGCTCTCATTTTGTCTTACCAGTGAAAACATATCCAGAAAATAAGCTTCTGAAGACAATGGCAATTTATGCTAACAGCACTTAATGCAGAAAATTGTATGTCTTCATATCTCAGGTAGTAATTCGGTACCAAAGAGCACAGTATCAGAAAGTTTCCATTGTGAATGACTGTCAACATTTGCAGTTACATAGATATTTGCAATATGGCTTTCAAAACCTTATTTATTATTTTTTCTCTCTAAATCAAATCAGATAATTTTGACAAATTATATATATATAATTTTTCTACTTATAAATTTTGATATTATTTAATTCAAATATTTAATCATCTCTTGTCAGTTCCAAATTCCTTTAAATTAATATTAAAATATAAATTTGAAATGCTTTTAAACTTATATATAATGCCAGCATAAATTTATATCAGCATGAAATGAGTAGACACTATTTTACATGGTTGTAGAGGATAATCAGTCCCATCTTTCTGGAAGGGAATTTGCTTAATATGTATCAAGTAACTAAAAAGTATCATACCATTTAATTATAGCTGAGAATCTACTCTAAGAAAGTAATGTAAAATTCAGAGAAAAATATAAGAACTAAGATAAGTACTATAGTATTAATTATAATAACAAAAATTAGGAGCAGCTTAAATGTTCAATAGCATCAGAAATAGTTAAATAACTAATGACATATCCATGGGAAGGGCTATTCTATAGACATGAAAAATATACTTTTGAAGACTTTGAGGGGACTTGGGGAAAAGGTGTACTTTTATTGTTATATTCAGTGTTAAATGAAGAAAGCAATGTATCAATGTATCAAATATAGTGTTATATTCAGTGTTAAATGAAGAAAGCAATGTATCAAATACAGATATCAAATGTATCTGTACAATGATTTAATTTTTTATATATTGGAATGCCAAAATAGGAATAGGTATTTTCCCAAGATGATGGAATTACAAAGCCTTTTTTTCCTTCCTTACCTTTAATATATTCTAAATTCTCTCAATGAATGTATAAAATCTAATAATGAGAAAAATAAATAAATTTTATGAATTCATTTTTAAGTACATATTGACTTGATTTTCTTAGGCTGCATGTTGGCTAATGTTAGGTAGGGAGAGGCCTGACCTTGAGCTGAGCCCCTGGGCTCTGGTAGAAAGCCCGTGGCCCTGAACTCACTCCATTGTCTATGGTATTAGTGGGTTGGACCAAATGGCTTCTAAGATCCCGTTAAGCTATGCTATGCTATTATTCTATAATTAATTAGGTATCAATGTCATTGATATTCTTTGGCGGTTTTTCGATAGCCTGGAATTCATTTCTGAGTTTTGGGAAGATGGTACTTTGCAGCCTCCCAGAGAATCTTCTGAATTCTTGGACCATGTTAATATCCTCATTGACACCCAGCCATAGGACAGAACTTCATTCATATGAAATTCACTTGGCAAATGTCTTGTAGAACAGCTCTGAGCACCCCTGGGTTATGCCACGCCAAGCAAGGGATGTAGACCCCATCTGATTAAAAGTAATGGTGTGACACCAGCCACTCATTTTTGATTGCGCAGAACTGGCCCTGTGATGTGTTACTAATCAGTCCCACATTCAAGTCTCTCAAACATTTTACTATCTCGAGGATATTGGAAGTTGGATTAAGCATATTTTCTCAACATACCGATGCAGAGTAGAGGAAAATTTCTAATAGTGAAAATAAAAAGAGGGATCAAGGGAAAGATGAAATTCACAGCTCTCTCTTTCTCTGCCCCTTTCCCTGCCTTCCCTTTTACCCCTCCTTGTCTGTGGCCACCAGCCTGTGACCAGCTGGCTCTTGGTGTGGCTGCTCTCTTTGGCCCTTCCCACAGTTCCTCTGTCAGTGCCGTGCAGTCGATTTGCAATGCTCTCGAAGTTCCACATATACAGACCCGCTGGAAACACCCTTCGGTGGACAACAAAGACTTGTTTTACATCAACCTGTACCCAGATTATGCAGCTATCAGCAGGGCGGTCCTGGATCTGGTCCTTTACTACAACTGGAAAACGGTGACGGTGGTTTACGAAGACAGCACAGGTATGGGACTCGCGTGAGACCTCACCTGGCCATGTCAGGTCTGAACAAAGGGAATCTGAGTGTTCTAGAGGCATTGGCTCATCAGGTGGAGTGCATAAAAATGCTCTTTTATGGGCGCCTGGGTGGCTCAGATGGTTAAGCGTCTGCCTTCGGCTCAGGTCATGATCTCAGGGTCCTGGGATCGAGTCCCGCATCGGGCTCCCTGCTCCGCGGGAGCCTGCTTCTCCCTCTGCCTCTCTCTCTCTCTCTCTCTGTCTCTCATGAATAAATAAATAAAATCTTAAAAAAATGAAAAAAATAAAAAATAATAAAAATGCTCTTTTATATGAAGCTGATGGAGTATTCTAATTTAGGAATTCCATGTGTCACCATGTCCGATTCCTTTGGATCCTTTCTGATGATCCTTCCATCATCATACTTAGGGGGATTTGTTTTTTGTTTTGTTTTGTTTATTTTGAAGTTTTAATGATATTACACATAGGGCTGGGATGAGAGATTATTAATAGAATTTTATTATTTTATTTTTGATGGCTACATTTTTATTTTTTTTATTTTTTTATTATATTCAGTTAGCCAGCATATAGTTCATCATTAGTTTTTGATGTAGTGTTCAACAAATATCACCTTATTGATATATGTTGTAATCCAATCAGAATATTAAAGATGTGATTACATTTCTCCAACTCTATTAAGACTGTGACAATGACTCCATTCCTTAAATAATGCAAAGAAAGTTGGAAAAATGACCATGAAGTATGCTTCCAACTTGATAAGTAGCTATGTAAATGTTATATGTTAGACAAGTTTCTAAAGTAGGTTAACAAAGAGGAATCTAGTTAGAGGTTATAGCAATAAAACTGACCATTTCATAGGAAAGGGACTAAGAACCCCTGATAACCAACCCTTAATAAAGTTTGCATTGTTCCACTGCTTATTTTAGGGTGCAGAACAGAACTGTGATGCTTAGAGCCTCCATCTCACTAGACACTTTCTCTCACCTGCCCCCATTTCAAGTTTCTTTTGCAGGCACCTTTCCTCTCTGTCTTCTGGTCACATTTTGAAGTTTGTTGTAACTCAGGCTCCTTTGTATACAGTTGAGTCCCCAGGCTGGTGACTTTCCTTTGTCAAGTCCTTCTAATTTGAAGCTGTTCACCATCTTGCCCTTTTCAACTCCATTAACCCTGGCACTTCATTATCCCCTTCCCTACACTTCCTATACCTCACATCAGCTAGGATGAGGAGTCCACCATTCCTTCCTTACACACCTCCAACTTCATCTGACTCTTACTGAAGTATGGTTGACACACAATGTTACATTAGCTTCAGATGATTCAACAAGTTTATATTCTATGCTATTCTCCCCACAAATAGAGTTACCATCTGTCACCATACAATGCTATTAAAATGTCCTTGACTATATTTCTTATGTTGTACCTTTTATTCCTGTGACTTATTCATTCCATAACTGGAAGCCTGACCTCACTCTCCCCTTCACCTATTTTGCCCATCTCCGGCCCATCTCCGGCCCATCTCCCCTCTGGCAACCATCAGTTTGTTCTCGTATTTATGGGTCTGTCTGCTCATCTGTTCATTTGCTTTGTTTCTTAGATTCCACATATAAGTGAAATCATATAGTATTTGTCTGTTTCTGTCTGACTTATTTCACTTAGCATAATACCCTCTAGGTCCATTCAAGTTGTCACAAATATCATTCTTTTCATGGCTGTGTAATATCCCATTACATATATACCATATCTTCTTAATCCATTCATCTATCAGTGGACACTTGGGTTGTTTCCATATCTTAGTTATTATAAATAATGCTACAATAAACATAAGGGTACATATATCTTTTTGAATTAGTGTTTTCATTTTCTTTGGATAAATACTCAGTAGTGGAATTACTGGATCATATGGTATTTCTATTTTTAATTTTCTGAGGCATCTCCATGCTGTTTTCTATAGTAGCTGCACCAATTAAGATTCCTACCAACAGTGCATGAGGGTTCCTTCTTTTCCACATCTTCACCAACACTTATTGTTTTTTGTCTTTTTGATACTAGTCATTCTGAATGGTATAAGGTGATATCTCACTGTGGTTTTGACTTGCATTTCCCTGATGATGAGTGATGTTGAGCATCTTTTCATGTATCTGTTTGCCATCTGTATGTCTTCTTTGGAAAACGGTCTATTTAGGTCTTGTGCCATTTTTAATTGGATTAAAATTTGGTGTTGAGCTGCATAGGTTCTTCATATATTTTGGATATTGACCCTTTATCAGATATTTTAATTGCAAATGTTCTTTCCCACTCAGTAGGTTGCCTTTTGGTTTTGGTGATGGTTTCCTTCACTGTGCAGAAGCTTTTTATTTTGGTGTAATCCCAATAGTTTATTTTTGTTTTTGTGTCTCTTACCTGACGAGATGTATCCATAAATATGTCCGACTCTCCTTTTCTGAAGCTGGCCCCTTACTATGCATGATCCTCCACACAACCCCTGAGACAGTGAGCTCTCTCATTCCACACGATCACACTCAAATATCACTTCTTCCTTAAAGTCCTCTGAGACCACCATAGGGTTCAGTAGCACTTTGCAAATATAAGTATTATATTACATGTTTCAATTACCTGTTTGCACATCTAGGAGACTAGGAATTCCTAAACATTGGACTTCTATCTTATCTATTTTTATAATCTGCCACCTAACACAATTATGGCATATAGGGAAGTACTTAGTAATAATACTTAGGAATAATATTATTTCTTTTATGCATATATTTCCTCTAAGAATTAAAATTAGCTCATTTCTTGAGCTACACATTTGGTAATAAGGTTAAGAAAATTACCAGTGAAAATTAATAAAGCAAAGCACTTAACAATGTTTTTAATAGTATTTCATTTTTCATTTTTGGTCCTTTTTACCAAGCACTAGTACTTTCTACTTCTTAGGGGATGAATAGTAAGCCTCCTTTACTTTGCACTAAACTCTGGTTCCATTTTAAACTGTCAGATAAAAATGACTGTTCTATTTGGAAATATGCATTTATGTATTTTCTTATATCTCATCTCATTTTAGAAAAAAGTGAAGGTAGGTGATTGTATATATAACTTATAAATGTTATATTCAAAACAGTCCTACAGGGAAGAATAAGCCACAGGCAATCATATTCTTAAAGCTTCACCTGCTTGCTGGGAAGAAAAAAACATACTATCAAATGAATTCCACAAGCATATTTAAAAGGCCTTGAGATGGAATATTATAATGTGTAGGGGTGGGAAAGTTTTCCCTTCCTCCCTTCTAGGATCTTTGGCTGGTCAAGCAATTAAGTTGACGTGAGACAAATTAACAGGAGTAAAGCAAACAAAGTTTAATAAGATGTATACCACCTGTAAGCATGGGAGAAACCCAAGAAAACTAACTCTCTGAAATGGCCAAAGCCATCACCTTAAATACCATCTTCTGCTAAAGACAAAAGATGCTGGGGGTGGGAAGTCAGTTATGAGAAGTTATCAGGAAAAGCACAGTGAGCAAGGATAAGGTTGTTATGCATATTTAAGTCCCTGCCTTCTCCATTAAGAAGAATTTCTAGAGATTGAGTCCTCCCCCCTCTTCCTGATACAGTGAGGGAGACACCCTTACAAATGAAGACTTCTCTTACACATGTAAATGTCTCTTATAAAAGGGTAACGTCTACTCAGATTTCAGAGCTTCATCTGTGTCTGTTGTTTCTTAAAAATAAACATCTCATAATAATCCCATGCCAAAGAGACACATTCTGGACTGGCAAATTCTGCTCCCCTTCAATTATGAATGTAAGTGTAATCAGATCTTCCATGTTGCTTACCTTTGTAAATAGAGAATTGCATGAGCTAATAAAGTCATACTATTTCTTATTATGTAGTACCCTCGATAGTACAAATTCTTCTCACTATTTCTACATCTCCAGCAAAGCAGGGCCATCTAAAGGGAAAAAAAATTAATGAATGATATTAAAACTTTTAGATTTAACTTAAGAGCTCAACTAAAGGTGTGAGCATAACTGTTATAGATTTCAAATTGAATTTAGACAAAATATAATTTGTAAAAGGATAACACAAAAGTTGATGTCCTAACCAACCTTCTGATTTCAGGTGAGCACTCATAAGTGATGGGGATTTTGCACAGGAGGAAACTCAAATTATCATTTCTATCATTTTTTTTTTTTACAAGAAACTGAAATCTGCTTTTCATCCCTATTAAGTTCACCCAAGCCTTGTTGCTCAATAAATACTTGCTAAAGTTGAAAATCCCAAATGAGTTTGTATGTTGCCCATTAAGTTAGAAATGATTCATGTTAAAATGATTTTGCCCACAAAGAAATTAAAAATGTAAATGAATAATCAATTGAGCCATTAAATTGGAACCCAGAGAGTAAACAGGTCAACTGAGATCAATAAAGGTAGACATCTTTTGCCTTTGAGTGGGTTTAATACCACTTGACTCAGGGTTTTGGTTGCAGTAATTATCAAGCCATAAAAAGGAGAAAACTTGGGGCGCCTGGGTGGCTCAGTCGTTAAGCATCTGCCTTCGGCTCAGGTCATGATCCCAGGGTCCTGGGATCGAGCCCCACATCGGGCTC